TTTTTTTTCAACATATATTATTATTATTTTTAAATTTGGAATAAAATTGACTTATATTTTCTTTTTCAATGACGAAAAAAAACAACATCAACTGTTAACCCAGAATAGAAAATACTCTAACATAGACATGTTAGTTATGAATGAAGAATGAGCTAAAATTATTAAATGAAAAATAATTAATTTTTTTTAATTACAAGCCTTGAAATCAGTGCTTAAAATGGATCACAAATTATAAATGTAAATATTTTATATTTGTTCAAACATGCATTTTCAAAAAACAACACCTGAGATATTTGAAGCATTAATTCATTAACTGATAGATTTAGTAATTCATTAATTAATCAATCGTTTGTTTATCTTTTACCACACCGCTGAGGCTTATAAATGTAGTATAAAGTATACTACGTGTACTACTGCAGTACTGTTAAGTCCCTATAATAATACTGTTTCACAAGTGTTCCCGAGTCAACACTGAACATCAGACCGTTTAATGACCTTCATGAAACTGAGACTTTTCCCATATTAATGTTAACCTGATTGGGTAATAAAAAAAAAAAAAAAAAAAAATTGTAATTGGCCGTGAAACACCATCTGTTCTGACAGATTGGCTTCAGAAATTAGAACATTTTCTCTTTTTATTCCACCTTATCAACAAATACTAAAAAATCTAAATTTATATAAAAAATATTTTTTTCATAAAAGAATATGGATTTTGTTAATGTCATCAATGTGTTTGTCATACAGTCTCAAACAGAAAGTTCTGCGTACGAACCTGAAACACCAGAAACGTTTATTTGTTGATTTTATTCCTTGTCCCTTTAGAGGCTCCGTAGCCTTAAAAATAAAATAAAAAACAAATAAATGATTAATTTAAAAACCTGACTTTTTCTGCGTGGGAAATGTCTTTCGAAATTTGAAGGTGTCATGTAGACATTTGGCCACAAGGTGGCAGCATATATCCATGATGTAGCATTAAGTTGCTGATAGTGTTTTTAAATCAAGTTTGACGGGGCTAGAAAAACTATAATGTTTAAAAATACATTACCAATAATTAAAATATGCTTTATATTTATATTTATTTATATTTATTTTGTTGACAGTGGGCTGAGCAGTGGAGAAAAAAACTAAAAGGTTTTACGTTTTAGGGGTTCGTTAAACACCTTATGAAAGAATTATAAATATATATATATATATATATTTCCATTTTCTGTGTTAAAAATGACATCAAAATGCTAAATCAATTGGGATCGTTGCATCTTTTGGCTATTTTAACCAACTGCGCATGTGCATACAGGAGTCCGGAAGACAGAAACAAAACAAACATAGTTGGCGCGGTGTTCAGTTGAACGAAGCGGAGTGATTTCAGTGGAGAGTCCGTGGAGAAAACGACCGTTTGTTATGAAAACAAAGCTAAACTACGGCTAACGTAGCAGCGTGTAGCAGTTAGCCGTCGGTGTCAGGCCAGGACGGACTGGTGACGTGAGTATTAACTTAACTATTTAATCATAAACTACAGTTATTATTGGTTCGTTTTCTGTTCGTGGACATAAATAAAATGTACAACATTAAATAAAATACAATATTATTATTATTTTTTTAAATATATACACAAAACTGTGAGTCCCAAAGTGGGGGGCGTGGAGCTGGTTGGTTCTCCAACATTTCTGTTTTTTTTTTGTGAAAACTTTTTAAAAAAAAACTGTTGTTGTTGTACAGTACTGTTTGTCAGTATCACAGTACTGTTT